ATTGTTGGTGGTGTTAATCTTTGTTTTCGTCCTCAAACTTCAGTACAATTTCTTAAATTACAAATGCTTTCAAATGATGGTATATGTCGTGCATTTGATTCAAATGGTACAGGTTATGTTCGATCAGAAACAATTGCTACTGTATTTATACAAAAATGACAAGATGCTAAACGTTTCTATGCAACATTATTACATTCAGAAACAAATACTGATGGTTGGAAAAAAGATGGTATTACATTTCCAAATGGTGAAATGCAAAAAAATTTACTTGAAAATATTTATAAAGAAATTCATCTTGATCCAAATCGTATTGGTTATGTTGAAGCACATGGAACAGGAACACGTGCTGGTTGGTTAACAGAATTCTTTTTTTGTTTGTTTAATGGTTTATTTATTTATTTTTTCTTTTTGTTTTTGTGATTAGGTGATCCACAAGAAATGAATTCTATTACAGAAATATTTTGTAGTAAACGTAATCAACCATTATTAATAGGTTCAACAAAATCAAATATGGGTCATCCAGAACCAGCTTCAGGTGTTGCTGCTTTAGCAAAATTACTTATTGCTATACAAGATGGACATATACCTGGTAAAAACAAAAAATTATTCAAATATTATTTTATAATTTTTATTTTAAGCTAATTTATATTATAATTCACCAAATACAGATATACCAGGTCTTAGTGATGGCCGTCTTAAAGTTGTAACAGAAAAAACAAAGTAAGATTTAGATAAAGAGTAGTTGATAATTTCAATATCTATTATTAGACTACCAAATAATTTAATGTCAATTAATTCATTTAGTTTTGGTGGTGCCAATATTCATGCTGTACTTGAAGCAAATTCAAATCGAAAAGAAAATGAAAATTTATCACGAAATGAAATACGTCTTGCATTTGCTTGTGCTCGTACAATTGATGGATGTGAAAATATTCCTAAAAATTTAAAAAAATATGAAAATAATATTGAATTACAAGCATTAATTACAGAAAATTCATTTCATCCATCACATACACATCCATATCGTGGTTTTACTTTATTAAATTCATCAATAATAGTTAAAGTAAATAATTATTCCTCGTTTCTTCAATATTTATTTATTTTTTGTTTTATATTTTAGAAATGTAATAATGAACGACGACCAATATGGTTTGTATTTTCAGGTATGGGTACACAATGGTCTGGTATGGGATGTGATTTAATGAAACTAAAATTATTTCGTCAATCAATTGAAAGAAGTTCAATTATACTTAAAAAATATAATATTGATCTATTTAAACTTATTTTATCATCAA